TTTGATATATGAATAGATGGATAAATTAATGGTAGATGAATAGATGGACAGATAAATTAATGAATGGATAAACTAAAGGATGAGTGGATGCATAGATGGGTGGATGAGTGAATAGCTGGATGGATGGGTAGGTGAATGGATGGATGGGTGAATAGATGGATGGATGTCTATAGCATCTTGTTTTACCCATACAGACACTCTTGGTAAAGGAAATATCATTTCCATTTTGCAGACAAGGGGCATAAGCTTCAGAGGTGGGGAAAATCACTTCCCCAAGATTATATAACTAGAAAAGGTGGCAGAGGGATTCAAGCTTTGGACCACCCATCTCTAAGCCCTGTGCTCTCACCCACCATGCAAACCCTCCCCCTCCTCTGACACTCCCTCTCCTGACGCCCTGCACTTCTGCAGCACCCAGATTGCCCCACTGGGCACTCCATTTCTGTAGCCATCAACCAGTGAGAGTGACTCTTATAAGTCCATGGGAGTGTGTGTGTGAGTACACAGGAGGGGTTGTAAGGCCTTTGCATGCAAGTGAGGGTATAGAATGAGGTGACGTGAATACATGCCCTTTCTCTGACATGGCCCCCAAATACCAGGGGCATTGCCATGGTCAAAGACAGGTCCAAGGAGTCTGGTAGTGTCCACCAACATTTATAAGGTGCCCAGGGACAAAGCCCTAGCCTGGGATCGTTCCCTACAAATGTCAGGTCCTCATGGCCAGGCCTTGTGATTAAACACAGAGCAGGAAATCGAGAGAGGACAGGGTGACATCATGGAGGAGCGATATGACAGCTGGCACCCCAGGGTCATCAGACTGCTGTCCCGGAGAGATCAGGAAGTCATCCCCTTCTTTGAGTCAGGGCAGTACAGGACAAGGAGGATGGGGGAAGGGAACAGGAGGGAGGAAACAAGAATGTCTCTCAAGTTGAAGTCTTGATCCAGGCCTATTTCCTCAAAACTCAGGCATGTTGGTGGTGGTTGGGTGGCCAAGAGACTGGCAGACCTCAGCAGGCCTTGTCACTCCTGATCTCCACATAGGGTAGCCCCACAACCCATGTGTCCCGAGGCCAGTAGTGGACTTTGAGGGTCTGGCCTGGCATCTCATATCTGGCGTCCACCAAGGCCATGGCCACCATGCCATAAGGGAAGGTGATGCTGATGAGCACGTGCCTGTGGGATGTAGGGTGTGATGGTTAATTTTTGTGTCCACTTGACTGACCTATAGTTCCCAGTGGTTTGGCCAAACATTAGGCTAGTTGCAGTTCTGTAGTATAATGGAGAGCAATGTAATGTGATCACCTCCCACAACATAACTTAATGTAACCAGTCAGGC